GAAATAAAATGGAAAAAAAAAAAGATATTTAAAATGAAACAAAGCCTAATAAAAGAAAAAAAAAAAAAAAAAGATGGTCAAACTGAACGTAAAAATCGAAAGGATGATGCACATCATGTAGGATATAATCCAACTTAACGGAAATTAATAATAAAATATATCATTCTTATATAATCCATAAGACGCATTATTAGCTATTGTGCATTTTTTATTTTAAATTTTTTTTTTTGTGGTGGGGTGAGCATTTAATAATTTTTTTGTTCGTAAAAATACAGTGCAAAATAAGATATTTTGTATAAATGTTATTTTTTTTTTTAGAACATTTATAGTGATTTTACAATGAAATTTTCGTTAAAATAATGTGCTTTTACGCTAATAAATTCAACTCTTTTTGCATTATATTTATATATATAACCTATACATATAATGTCATGTTTTCTTTATTTGCTACTCATATTTGTAAAAAATAATAAAACACGTATATATTATTAATATTTATACCTATGCTTTATTTAGCATAAGTAAAATATATTAAACGTTTTATTTTAATTTTCATTAACATTTGTAAACTTAATTCTGAAAGTTCTAAATTAGTAATAAATATTTTGAACGTTAACGTGGTAGTACATTAAATACCATAATTAATTTTTTTAACAAAAATATGAAAAAAAAAATTATAACAAAACATTAACGAAATTTAAATTAGAATACATGTTTAAACGTGATTCTAATAAATTAAATAGAAAAGGTGTTCCTAAATTTTGTGTAATATTATGACTATTTTTAAATTATTCATTTATATTACACATGCTAATATATATATAACAGTATATAGATCCATAAGAAAATATATTCTAAAATAAAATAGCATTAAAAATATTTCCATTTATTACTTTAACATATGTACATTTCTAATTTCGTTTATAATAATAAAATTTGTTTAATATTGTTTGTTTTAAATTGTTATACATTAGCAAACCTTGGACTTTGTTTCTGATTTCATTGTTTGTCCCATATTTTTTTATAAATCTATTTTTGATAATCTCTGGTATAATCCTTTTTTCAGATTATGTATTGCCAATAATTATTTAATTATTGTGCCAAAAGTACCATCTAACACATATTTTTACTAGAAAATTATACTAATCGAATGCTATGAAGGTTAAATCAATTTTGGACAATTAAAACAATGAATAATTTTATGTTATAGAATAATAACTATTAAAATATAAAATAGTGTAATACATAGGAAAAATAAAGCTACATTATCTTTTAATATTATTATATCGCAACAATGACATGACAGTGTTAAAAAATAAAAATAAACAATTTTAATTATAACAAGGAAACATAATATTTCTTTCATTAATAAACATTTTCTGGTTGCCATTATTATATTAAGAAAGAAAACAGTATATGTATTCTACTTTTAATGTTATAGAATTTTTATTGTATTAAGTAAATATAACTGTATTTAAGCATGTAATATTCATAATATAGCTAAAATATAATAATATTAAATTCTGTTATCCCTATATCTAATCTCCAGGAATACATTGATAAAGCAAAACGAAGGATAATTACATGCAAAAATCTTGAGGTATCTTATGCACTTAATGCGTATAATAAAATAACATTTGCCAGACAAAGATTTTTATTCTTTTCTTTTTTATATAAAAGTGTATAATATAAAATTTTTTTTGTTTATTTGGTTGTCTAATAAATACAAACTTTTAAAAGTATTTTTTTTAATAGAAAAATTAGGATAAATGAGTAAATGTTATTTTGTTAAAACAATTTTTAAAGACCCTAACTTTTTAATATCAATATTTTGATTCATATTACCTTGTATAATAGTAACTATCGAATATAAATTAACTGCATCCACAAAACCTTAATGCGATAAAATAAAAATAATTCGTTTGCTATTATTTTATTTTTGTTTTAATTCATAAATAAAAAATACGTTAGAATGGGGCGAAAACATAATAATACTTTAATAAAATTATGAATTACAAAAGTAATAAATTTAAAGTACGTATAATTATATTTTTTTTCAATCAGTTATATAAGTATATTACTTTATATTTAATAATACCCACGTCTAGAAAAACAGGTCTTTCTTCCATTGAATGATAATTTGTATTCGTAACTATTAATAATTGTTTTGTATAAAATAGAGTCTAACATATTTATAAAACGATTAATCATTTGCAAATAAGATGTATTACAGAAAAATGTACATATTTATCCAACGTTCAACAAAGTAGCACTCATTTATTATTTATTAATATGAGGTGTATGTAACATACTTTTCCTTGCTTTTTAAATTATTGATTAGCATTCAATTAGTGAATATACTCATCTTTAGTTTTTTTAATTCACACATAAACAATATTTATAAAAAGTCTTTTAACATTTTATAATTTACCTTTACTATATATTGGTATAATTATCAAATTAGGTTCATTTATACATATACAGCAGTATTAACCTAATAAAATTATTATACCATATTGTATATACAACATTATCTTCTTTACTAGTATTAGACGAAATTCAATTATTTTTAAATGTATCTAGTTTTCATATGTTATTATTTCATGTCATATATGCCTATAACATTATCTAATAAAATAATTTTTACGATAATGTTTTCCGTATAAATCTACACAAAAAATTAGCATTTTCGTGAATAGGTCAAATATTATTAGTTAAATTAGATGCACTAAGCATTTACTAATAAATATTATTAATACAAAATTTTAAATTATACTTATGTGATACAATAAAAAAATATATCAAAAATGTAAAAATAAACAAAAAAAAAAATTCAAACAATTTTAATTATAAATAATACGTTGCGTAAAGCTCTGTATAACAAGATATATGCTATAAATAATTAATTTCTATTAAGTTAGATTGTAATATTAAAAAGTATTGCATTGCACAACCTTGCTAAAAAAAAAAATATTTTAATAATTCAAACGTGTTTTCAACATTTATCAATGTTCATTTTATTAATTTTTTAATTTCATAAAAATTATGGTTACATCAGAACACATAATAATGAAATTCCTCGTATCTGTCGAAGCAGTTTTAACCAAATATAACTAATCCATAATTCCAACATTTTTAATTAAATAATGAACTCCTATATTGCATCACATTTATGTTCCAAAATATGAAATATAAACAATTAGGCATATTAACCTATTTTAAATTATACAAATGTTAATGCAATTTCTTTGTATTTAATTCCTTTCAACTTTAAACCTTTTACACATTTTACAAAAAATGTCTAATTTGTCATTATTCAGTGGCTTTAATTTTTTTATTCTTTTCATTTCACTATTTTTCTTTTTATTAGAAGTAGTTGCTTGAATCATAATGACACTTTGTTTTCATATTATCTGTCTAAATAGTTTCACGTTTCATGTTTAATTAGCGATAAGCTTTCTGTACAGGATTATAAGAAACTTTTAATCTCCTTATTTTAGAATCCATGTATATATCTTCTGAATCATAATTTGATAAATCTTCTTCACTATTATCATACAAGTTATTTTCAATTTTTTTTTCTCCTTTACTACTATGTAATTTTAATCCTCTTCGAGTAGACTAATATAAAAATATAAAACATGCCATAATAAATATATATTATAATTACACATTCAAAAGAAAACGATGTTATATAAATATAAAAATAACATTTTCATACTGTAAAACCGAATTTTTAATTACTCTATAATAATAGGAAATGAATAGAATTGCTCCAAGAACTGAAGCTGTTAGGATGATATTACTAAACATGTTAAAATCTGAATTTTCATACATTCCTTCTATAGCACTCGGAGTATCAGTAATGGCTAATGATGCACCATCTTTTGTAACTTCTGGAATTTGACCTTCATACTCACCGGTCGCGCTTAATTGTAAACTCAAAGATGTTGCCTTTTCCCTGACATCTAAATTTTCTCTTGCTTCTTCCCCATTATTACTTATTAACTCAAGTTGGCTTTTTAATTTAGTTAATAAATCTCCAGGTTTGTACATATTTTCACATTTAAAATATGGATCACATGTTGATCCAAAAGGGTCATCTTCTTCACAACACCTTTTAAAATTCTCTTTATATATATGGTAAATATAATCAACATAATTTACATATTTTTCGCACGTAACTTTATCAAAATTATCACATTTGATATATTTATAATTTTCAAAATAATCGTGTAAATCCTTTTCTTCTTTCCAATCTTTCGGATATGCATGTGTGTTTCCATTGCATCCTGGTTCGTTCATTAAACTTGTACTAGCTAATGAAACAAAATCAAAAAGTTTCCCAGCAACTGGGTTATTATTAGATACATTCTCTCTATTATAATATTTTTTACTTATCTGGTCTTGGAACCAGTGTCTAAAGTAATGGCAACCACGTTTCTTTACCTCTTTGTCGAGTTCATCCTTTAATGATTTTAAATTTTTTGCTATCTTATTACAAAGCTTTATATCCTCTTCTTCACTTGTCCCTAAGTCCTTTATACAGTATGGATTACTATTACCATTTATAATTACGTTATCTAATGTTTTATATTTTTGGTATGACGGCAAATGTGACAATTTTTCTTCCTGTAAATTGAGTAAAATATACAAATGTTATTTTATAATAAATATGTATTTTAAATAAATAAAATTACTCTGATTATTCTTAAAATAATATAAAATATTCAAATAATAAACCATATTTATAATATGAAAATATAAATATACCCAATTATTCTCTTCCGAAAGCACCATTTTGATTTGGAATGTATTATCTAAATTTAATATTTATCCTCATAATTACATATATTTCTTTATATGGGAAATTAAAATGCTTGATCTATTATATATTTTACATTTCTAACTATAACATTTCAGAATTTAACTGGAAAAAGCGATAAATAGAAGAATTAAGCAAAAATTATTAATCCAAGACAATGAATATCAAATTAATAATTATATTTAATAAAGCAATTTAAGGAAAAGGAAAAGGAAATTTCATTTTAATATATCAATATATATAACATTATTCAGATAAAACCTACATTTATAATCAAATGTATATAAAAGAAATAATATATTAAACATTTCTTTAATATTCATTCGATTTTCGTAATCTGGTAAAGAACATTTTATATGATTCGGAGCTATGAAACTAATTTATTACACTTGGTAAAAATGACACTAGGATTTATTATAGAAGAAAAAAAAATTCCATTAATATAATAGTGTAAATAATCTCATATACATTATTAAAATGCAAATAAGGAAATATACATTGAAACAATGAGGAATAAATAGAAACAGTATAAGTAGTAAGCTTACTTATTAACAGTACACTTTATATAGGAAAATATTAAAAAATAAAAAAAAAAAAATTCTAATCAGAATAATTTCATTAACAATAATGGAAAGGACAGTATTAACATCAAACTAAAAATAATTTTATTGTACTTTTAACCATCCATCGCATCTTAACACACATATGTACATATCATATAACTTGATAATAAGGCAAGGAACTTCTAATAACAATAATATAGCATTTTTAATAATGAAAATAGCTAATTAGTGAAGATTATGTAGCACATTTATTTTATATTAATTCCCTTTTTCAAAGTCAATATATATTCCATTTTTTTACTTATACTATCACTGAAAAAAATCATAACTTTCATATTTTCTTTATTAACTAGCATATCATTTATTATTAAAAGAAGTATTTTAAGAACAATTATGAATAGAAAATTTTCAGATGCTATTTATTACTGTTGCAGCATTTCAATGATTAAGTAGATAAATATAAACAAAGTGAACTGTGCAAATAAATTATTTAAATATTTTTATTTATAAAAATAGTCAACATATTTGACCATTTTATAATTTTCCTACATTATCATGGAGATTATAAAACTGATGCATGTAATATAACACATCTATGGTTATGCTATGAATAAAAATATATTTTATTTAATTATAATAATTTATTACTGCATAATATTTATAAAGAAGTTGCATATCATGAATAATAAAAATGAGAACATCATGAGGAACAAAAAAACTATATGTGTATCAATCAATAAATATAGAAAGTATTAAGTATGAAAAACATTTTTTAATGCATAAAAAGGTAAAATATTATTTTAAAATACTTTAATAGTTTTATTTTATCTATAGTGAACATAAAAAGTTTTTACATTTTATTATACCATTTGTGTATTTTAATATACACATTTATCTGTCACTATGAGACTACAGAAAATATTAAAAAAAATGAATTCCAAACAGTATTATATAAATTCATTTCAGTTCATAGCTAAAAAGATAAGACAATTATTAATTTAAAAATAAATATAAAACATTTTTGGAATTCGCAAAGCGTTATTTTCGGGCTAGAAAATTGTTATACATGAGTTATGAAATAATATTTTATATATATATATATATAAAACCCTGTATGTGTAAGTAATTAAATAAGGAATTGTAAAAATAGATTAAATGAATAAATAAATGGTGAAATAATTGCACGCTGTTTTCCTTAATCTTGTGTTATGGGAGTCCATTTTTAATGCCTAATTTACCCTTTGTAAAAAACCACATCATGCTTAGTAAAAATAAAGGTTGCTGAAAAAAAATTTCTATTTTAAAGTGCAATTTTATTATACTTAGCTTAATCAGGATATCACTGTAATTTTTATGTTTCCTTTTTGTTGAGCAATTAATAATGTCTAAATTGATCTATTAAAAATGAGACCAAAGCGCTTCAATAATGTAATGACTTAAAGGGGACAAATATAGACTCGTCTATTTTGTTTATTTATCAACTTAGTTATTTGTTTATGCATATATATAAGTTTCATATTCATTTTAAACTTGTTATTTTTGTCCTTCATGTACCATTCGACCCTTTATTTGTAATATTTTAAAAACATATAGATAACAAATTAGTATAAGCAATTCTATATCATAAAAAACAATCGTTACCACGATATATTAAAATTTTCATGTTTTAGAGAATCGTAATATTAAAAAGACATATTAAGGAATTTTTTAAAAACAATGTGATACATTTTTCATGTGTTCATATTACCATTCTTTACAGACAAAAAATATAATGAAATAATAAAATCCTTTATAATTATATAATGTATAGGAAATTTATAAGTTTTATAAAACTAACAAGACAAAAATTTTTTCAGTTAATTTTATAAATGATCATTATATGATTAAAAAAAAAAATGTAACATTTAACAACGCTTATAGTGAGACATGAATAGTGAAATTAAAACATATTAACTTCTAAAGTGAGCCAAATCAATATTAACATATGATTCTATTAACTGTGCAGTTAATGCACATTTTTCTTCAAAAAATAGTACGTTGTTAACTTAAGTAATTGAAAATATATGAAGTAAGAAAATCACAACAACGTTAAATAAAAATATTGTTCTATGTTGAAACATATTTTCTCATACATAAGGAAACAACATATGGCATTCAGTTACCTTTTAGGATTAAAATTTTTTTTTTTTCATTTTTTAAAATGTTTAAAGACATTGCATTTTCTTCATAAAAAATATGTCGTTTTTCCAAAACATTTTTTACGCTTGTTATATCACAAAGTGTGCCAAAAAAAAGAAAAAAAATTAATAGCTGAAATAGTCTTGTTCTTTTCCAAATGGATAATCCATTTTTATAACTTTGTTTTGAGCTTCCACCTTTAAGAATTAACTATTTAATAACATGTTTGAATTTTCAAAAACTATTGGTATACACATTAGTATTATCAATAAACAAGGTGGACATGTGGATTTTGTTAAAATTCCAAGGATGCATGAGAATATAAAAGGTAAGATATATATTGCATATCTTAGACATTTTTTTTTAAAAGTCAAATTTGTCGATATGAGTTGATCAAGATTTGTATGTCCCAGATGTTTATTTATGTTACTATATATTTTAGAAACGTTTATTTTGCAAGTATTTTCTACATTTTTGCATAATTTACACTTTCTGCATTTATCTTTCATATATAATTTATTGTCTTCCAAAAAGAGAAAAATGCTTCTTTTAATTTCTTTAAAATTTGTCTCTTTTTTTTGTTCATTATTATATAAACCCACTCCTTTGTCTGTATATATATCTTTTCCTTCATTTTCCAGTTTTTCATTATTTCCACATATTGTTTTGTTTTGATTTAACTCATTAATAGATACCTCATTTTTGATCTCATTTTTCGCCAATAATCGACTATGCCTCAAGGTTAATACGTTATCTGATTTATACTTTCCGTTAAAAGATCTGCCCAAAATAAGCTTAATGAAAGATTCAGTTCATAATAATTTCGAGATGTATTTATTTTCATATAGTTAAACATTATATTTAGCAATAACGTAAAAAAGAAAAAAAAAAAAAGTGAATGAATATTTTTTTGTGAATTATTATTGTACCATGCTCTTGTAATAATGCCACAAGAACGATATAAGGACAAAGACTAACAAATTGAAAATTTTGAGAAAAATAATCACTTTTTTCATGGCATAATTTTTTCATTAAATTTATATCATTTTTATTAAGAAAAATTGGGTTATAGCATGTTTTTTTTAAGGGATAACAATTACAAGTCTGAATATATTTTGATATCTTCCTACACTATTTTACAATTTTTTTTAATGTATAAATTTGGTATTTACACACTGAAACTTTCATATTATAAGGTAGAAAAAGTTGGAAATTAAAAAAAAAAAATTTACTATTTGTTATCAGCTAATTACAAAAAAAAAAATTATTTATATTTGAGACAATTCTATAATTTAAATTAATGCTTATAAACTCTTTCCAGTAAATTTTTATGGAAAATTAGCTCTACATATTTTAAGTTTCTAAAAAGCATAGAAAAAATAAAGGAAATATTAACTAAAAAATAATAAATTTACAGAAGGGAACCATGAATTTTCAAAATTTTCTCTGCTGATAAATAGTTTTTACCCCGTAAAAATATTACACTATCTTGTAGATGTTCTACTTGACTAATAAATAATTGTAACATCAGAAAGCCAAATATTGCAGAAAATTAATAGTTAAAAAAAAAAAAAAACTATTTTTATGTATAAAATACTATACATTTTTTTTTTTTTTTCCTTTATAAAAATATGAAAACTGCAAAAAAAAATAACTTTTTAGAAAATGTCGTAACCTTTTAGCATTCAAAATATAATTTCAATAAAATTTTTTAACTATAATCTTTTTAGAATTTTTCTTTTTTTTTAATTTTTTATAAAAAAATATTTAGAGCGAAATTTATAATTTTTCTCTTTTTTATAAATGTATACTATTAGGCATAAACATTTAAAAGGAAAGTTAAACGGTTAGCATAAAGAAATTAATGCTATTATTAAAGGCATAAATATACTATAGTCAAAAATATTTTAATTTAAATAATTGTACTGCACATTGAATACACCAATTTGAAATAACAATCCTAAAAATGTTACTTATCGAATATATTATTTTAATAATATAATAAATAAAACTATATATATTTTTAATGTTGCTATATTAAAAAAGAAAAAACTATTGTATTCAAAATTTTAGTTCCATATTAGAAAGCCGTTTCTAAAACATGTAGAAGAACATGACAAATTTTTACAAAAAATAATATAAGATTTAAGCAAAAAATGCAACGTTATATATATGTACTGCATACTGCTTTTTTAAGTCTATGAATAAGATTGTATTTTTGTGCAAAATATGACAAACGGTTTTTATTAACGTAAAAAAATTCCGACAACACATCTTATTAATTTTATGTATAAATGGGAACTGCTCACTATTGTTTTATTTTTGTAATAATAACAATAATTGAAAGAGGAATAATTTACTGAAATATAGAACAAATATCCTTTGAAGGTTGAAATATGTTAAAATGGAAATTTTTGTCCAAGGAATAAAATTATTTTAATTCTGTTTTTTTACCATTAGAATATAACGTAGATTGGTATACATTAAATGATAACTCATTGTTTTAGTCCAAAAATGACTCATTAGTTAGATCTTGTTGTAATTGAGTAAATCATACTTTTTTTTGAGACAGATTAACATGAACTCATGAATGTAATATGCTATGTTATTTTGTTCCTATTCAACATTAGTATTGTAAGAACAATAAGGTGAGACTATAATGTTAACGGAACAAAATTACGTGTATGTAAAAGTGCTTTATATGACAAAAAAGGAAAAAAAATTATCATTATTTAATTATATATTTACAGATAAAATATTTTTAAATAAAATTAGGTAAGGAATAACACAAATAAAATATTTTTACATGAGCTCAATTGACGTTTATATGAAGTCTTCTTCTGTGTATTCTACATAGCACATGTACAATAACTCATTAAGCCCATAAAATTGATGAAACAACTAAAATTTACCATGTTTTGTTAATACTATCTTTATATATTATTATTAATATAATAATTGTGTTATTGTGACTGATTGTAAATACTACTGCATTGAAAAATTATTATATTATTTTATTTGGATCATAAATCATAATAAAGGCATTTAATAATTATTGAATTGTCTATAAAATTTAAGTAATGAGATATTATTTTTTCATTTAAATACTAATAATAGATAGTTTTATTTAAGTCATATAAATTCAATACGGCTTCTTCGAGTGCGTAAAATGTTTAATTTTATATTATTATGTGGTTATTTATGATTATTTTTATTAATTATTCCACAACTTATCTAACAGCATGTCAAATGATTAACTAATAATTTAAATATATTTGTGATTCATTATATTCATAAAATTAAATATGAATACATAAAAATTTATATTCTTTAATATTTGGTAATGAATTTCCTTATCTACAATGTTAAATACTTTGGAAGAAGATGTAACTAACGAGTATAATAAATTGTTACATTCTGTTGAAACACGATTATGGAATTTCTTTAACCAATTTTCTAATTAATCTAACAAATATATAACATGATCTAAATAACTTTGTTACTTGAATATGCGTACAAAATTGAATTATTAAACAGATTACCTAGTGCATTTATTAAATCAAAATGAAAGGAACACTAATAAAGAAAAAAAAAAAAATAGACAATTTCTGTGAAACCTGAGATTATCATACGAATACAACGAGCAATGAAGAGGGAAAATGTGAATAATAAGCAAAATATGGGCACAATATATGTAGCTATTCTTTTAACTATCATGCATGTATCACTAATGAGCACATAACAGAACAATTATTTTTTTTTACATATATCTTACTTGTGTCGAATAAGATACTCCTAGACTTTTTTCACACGTTTCCTATGAAAAATATATAACTTCATATAGTTTAAAGTATGTTCCACATTTTCGAAGATATAATATGCCATTTTTTTTTTATTAAATTATAGATTCTTTAAAAAAACATTTAGATTTCATTTTGTAAATTAAAGTTATTCTTAAGTACCCTGAATTTATATACCTGTAGCAATGTTAAGAAGTGTTTTGATGTCCTTAAATTTATTTAAAATAAAATATAATTCTTTAAATAGGTATATATACGTTTAAATATATATTCTTATTTTATACAGATTTTTCCCCTAGAAAACCATCATAATAGATAAATAAATTTATTGTATAAAATTTTCTCCGTCTATTTGTTATTAGTATAGCCCCCTTAAAATTTTCCATTGATGATAAAAAAGAAAAACGTGTACAAGAAATAATATATATATAGATGTGAATAACATTTTGTCTAATTATACAAATTGTTATTATAAATTAACATGTAACCATGATATTTTATAGCTTACAAAAATGTGTAAAATATTCTATAAAATTTTTATACAAAAATGTAAGTTCGTTCTAAATAACCAAAATTAAATTGGGGGATAAAGGAAACATTTATATAAATTGCTTCACCATAAAAAATTAAAAAACACATAGTACCTAGTTACACTATTTGATGAAGTTCTATAAAAACAATTTTGTAGTTTTTTTCTGTCATACAAGATGCATTTATTAAATAATTGTTAATGTAGAACTTTTCACAAACATTATTAATCGAATAGTTAAATCTCATTATGGTTGTATATACTTACGACTGTAACATATATTTATTCAATTTATTTTTGTGTGTGTCCTATGTATTATGACTAATTTTACACTATCTGTTTTCTGCTGTGATATTTTAATTTTAACAAAAGTAAAGAATTTGTAAGTCAATTTCATGAACAAATATTCTTAAATTGTTAGCTACTTCACTTATATAAACAGTAGGAATATGTCTATTTATTATGTTAATGTGTATATCCTCTTTGCAACCACTTTTGTCAAAACCGTTTTCATAAATGTTCTATAGAATTAGAGGTAACAGATTGCAAATACGTTTGTGCCATAAGTCATTATGAATGTTCATTTATTAAAATGTTTATAAATTATTAACTAAAAATAATGTAATAGTGTGTATCTTATATATAAAAATATAGAGATGCACATATATGCAAACTTTTCATTTAAGGAAACTTTTTGCAAAAACGGAGATGACTAGTACAAATGGTTTTTTTATTGCAGAAGAAGTAGTTATAACTATGAAAAAGAGTAACACAATTTTTTAAAATTATTAGTTTCTAGATAATAAAATTTCTCGTTCTCATGGTTTTATATAGCGACGTAATTTTTTTTTTCACCAGTCATAAATATACTGTCAAACAAGAAAAAAATTTCTCTACCTTTTTCATTCGCTAAAAAATCTGATGTTGCTTTATTAAAGTTTCACTAATAGTCAAAAATGCTGTTCAATTATTTTACTTTAATTTAGATTTACGAAAAGGAATTGTTAATGAACTAACAATAATTGATATAATGCTGCTTTTACACATTTGTATAAAGTTGTATTTTGAATTCCTACATTTCTATGTGTACGTTACAACTAAATTTTAATGTTATGAGTATATCATTTTATTAATTATATAATAAAAACATACACATTATGGTATTTTCTAAATAATTATTAGGTACATATATTTACACATACATTTATATATATTTATTTACAATATTGTATAACGTAATAACTTTAATAGAATCCCTTCGAACGATTTCACTAATAAGAAGTTATTCTATAAATTTAAAAACATACCATTCATAACATCAAAAAAAAAAAAAAAAAATAATAATAAAGGCACAACAGAATATAGATGAATCATGATGCGTAATAAAGAAATATTTAAATTTCCTTCACAGCATGTTTAAGAATCCTGTAATGTAGCATTTTATTGTATTTTTCTTATTATTAATAATAATTGGACAGTATTTATAATATATACATGTATTTTATACGTCACCATTTGAAATACAAATTATTCAATATATTTTATCGAAATGATAATCGCTTATAATACAATTTTGTCAAAAAATACAAGACATCATCACCTATAGATTAATGCACCGTAGCTTTGAAACAGGTGTCTTTAAACAAGCACATTTAAACACACTAAAACTTGATTTAAATAAATAAAAGGCATACGGGAAATCC